CTTAGTCCTCTGATTCTGGGGAGGATAGCCAGAGATGTGTTCCTCACCAGATGTGGAGTTATCAAACAGAAAGAAAATTCAGCATTTTCTCTGTTTGCCCAGCAAAATGTTCATGAACAGGAGTGTTGGCAAACTCAGGTATTACTATAATTAATTCATTTTGCCATCCTGGGGGTGGAACCCTGGGTCTTCTAAATAATGCATTCCTATTCTACTTAGTTTTTATTTTGAAATGGAGTGTACCTAAATTAGGAAGTTGTCTAGGATGGGTTGGAACTTGCAGTCTTCCTGGCTCAGCCTCCAGTGTGCTGGGATTTTAGGAATCCACCATCACGCGCTAATATCAACCATTCTTAGAGTTTAAGTAACATGTATAATACAATGACTCTCAAATACATGCATCCACACAACTTCTCAGGAATATATGCAATAACCTCTTGCATTTCTTTTAAATGATATTTCACAGATGTTTCATAATAACATGTCCAAAACCAGAAGTGAGCATCTTCATCCCTGAATCTCAGCTCTTTTCCTCTTGTTTTATTTAGGGTGTGGAACACAAGCAATACTTTCTCATTGGAAAATTCTTAGACATTCAGATACGACTCTAAAATTTCTAATGTTTCTGTACTTTTCACATCTCTTGAAATCATCCCCTACCCAAGAGCTCTGTAGATGATCCCTTCGACTTCTTTTATAAGGATTATGGAGGTACTGTCACTGGGTCTTCCCACCTACTTCTCCTTCCTGCACCACTGAATCTTGTACCAACAGAACCATGTGGGTGCCATGTCCTACCCGGGGTAAAACATTGTGGTGGCTGCACACTGCCCAAACTGCTGAGTTCCACAATCACATCTCTCACTTGTCTTGATTTTTTTTTTTTAGCAACTTTAGATAAAGAATTTCTTTCTTCGCTGGTAAATTCTGTGGCTTATGACCTTTGGTGCCTTTCTTCACTCAGCACTTGCCTGGAATATTAATGCCAGATTTTTCTTGGCTTGGCAATTTCTCTCCTCATTTTCACCTTTTACAGTCATCTTTTGGGGCCTTTCCTCCCTAGACTTTATTTACCACATGTGTTCACAAAAACACACATATGGCTAGCACAATTATCATAATATGTGACCTATGCTTTTTGAAATATATTTCCACCAACCTACATAAATAATCATGTTTTAAATCTTGATGTCTTCTAACATGCTTGCCATACAGTAATAGATCAAAGAATATTCTTAGACTTTGGTCTATTGGAGTAAATCATTGTCATGAAGGTGCCCAATAGATATTCATTTAACTTATGTAAATGTCAACCAAGAATTATCTGAAAGAAACCATTAATGTTGCTCTCTTAAATCCTTCTTGTAAATGTAATTAATTTAAAAATTTTTTGGAGAGGCTGTCACATAGGATGCAGAAGTTTAAACAAAATTTCAACATTTTAGTATGATAGATTCTTTGATGCCTATGCAGGTACATGCATTTTAATATCAACAATACATTTATCAGTAATAATGTGAAATTCTGTCTTCTCAGTTTAATTTAGTTTAATGATACATCACCACAGATTCAATCTCTAGTGATATTATCCTTCATGGAAACAAAATGATTGATTGTTTTCCTAAAGTCATAAGACTTGAACTGCTATTAAGTGTTTGTAGATAATCCTCTAGTCTTGTGTCCTTATTATTTACTACTGTGGAGAAATGCATACATTTCATTATCTTGGTTAGATTTAGCACTGCAGTCTCCAAAGTCATTAGAATTTTACAGGTTATATCACAAGAAAGGACAATCCTCCTATTAAAAATTGATATCAATGGAAGAGTCATGGATTTTCTACACACTTACAACCTATGCCATGATGTGAATCTAAAGAATCACTAGGGCCGGGGAGATGGCTCAGTGGAATAAGCGCTTCCCTGGCAAGTGCAAGGGTCTGAGTTCAATACCCCGTTCCGCAAAAAAAAAAAAAAAAAAGAATCACTAGTAGAAAAATCATTCAGTGCTATAAATACTGATGTCAGAAAAGGGAACTGAATACTACCTAATAGGCAATAGAGATATGGAACATATATGTATATAACAAAATTTTATAGATATTTCATTATATTTTAGAGCTATAATAGTATTTAGATAAGATATCATGTCTGCATCCTGTACTAGGAATAACTGCTACAAAAACAATATGCAATGTATTAATTATTGTAACTGTATTACTGACCTGTTTTGAAGCTATCTCATTGCTACTTCTTTCTCAATGAAATTATTAAAATATAAAAAAGAAAATATTAAGTATTTTATGAAGTAAAAAGTATTAAAAAGAATAACAAATAGTATTTAGATATATATAGTACATATGTATTACTATATAGATACGTGTATGTAACATCTATGTACATATGCTAATGTAATTATTGAAGCCACTAAATTTGTACTATCAACTCCACTGAAATAGCATGGTGGCCTACAGTCTTTAGCTATAATGGACACTATTATGGTTTTTAAAAATTATACGAAGTCTTTACAACTAATTTTCATATACAAATTAAGCCTTAGTTCTCTGTATAAAACAAAATTAAGTTTCCATGCTATTTGATTTGACCATCAAAGTAGCAAATTAACAAAATGGCATTAGCTCCAAGAGGTATGATTTGATAAAGATACAGCATATATAAATCTATCAAGTAAAGCTCAAACAGATAAATTGAGAACTGATTGTAAAGTTAACCAAGTGATTTCTGTGATGTTCGTATCACTGAATTTCTGAATACTTGACTATGTTTAAGATTCACCTTTAGCATCAGGCTTATACACAACAATCTATGAGCACAAGCAACTTCTTTTCTTACCTGAAATGATGTAATGGGATAAATATTAACATGGGCCTCATTCCATCGTTGTCCTTTATTCCCGCTTGAAGACCACAGTGGATTCTCAATTGCTGTCTGCCCTTTCAAACGTAGATATACATTTAAAACACCTAAAAATAACAGTGAAATTTTATTTTGTGTCTTTTTCTCCCATACCATTTCTCCTTGAAGAAACACTTTAAACAGTTTTAAGTAACGTTTTGGAGAAGGGTCTAGTGCTCCTCTTTTTTTCTATCATGCATTCATATGATCCAAAGATAACCACGTCCCAGTTCTTACAAGCTGTGATTGTCATCTTATGCTGTGAAAGGGACATTTCAGGGACAATTAAGCACATTGACATGGAGTGACTCTTCTAGCTTTTTTCATTGGGTTCAAAATTCAATCATGCATATAAAACAGAAGAAGAAAGGATTTCTGATTGCAGAGAAGGGCATGTGAAGGAAGTGATAATCTGCTTTTGAGAATTGAATCAGGGTCCACAAGTCAAGGAGTCCAGGCACCCTGAGAGGCAGATTTTCCTATATTCCTTCAGAAAGAAAGAACACTGTCTTGAAAATTCAGTCTTATCACACTGAGTTTGAAGTTCTTTCCCCTATGGCTATCAGAAAGCATGTTTTTGAAGTTTTAAGCCACATGATATGCAATTATTTGCTCCAGCAACAACAAGAACCAGTAAGCATATAATCCGGCACTAACTGATTTGGCCATAGATTGATCCTAATTTTCTTGACCAATATTATCACTTAGCACCATGTTCTTCAGATTACAGATACTCTTTGTTTAATGGCTGAGTTCTGGTGTGGCAAAGTAGTTTGTTAAATGAATTAGTTGCTAAATGAGTATCTGGATATAGTATGTACATTACAATATTTATAACAAAGAAATGGTCATTGAAAATTCCAGCTTTATCATGTTGCTCTTACTCGCATAGCTTTTCCATGTGTAAACTCATCCGTGCATGTATACACGTATAAGAGAACAAAAACCTATAGCACTACACTATACAATGCAATCAGCAGAAATTGCAGCACTATATCAGCAAGGTGTATAGTCCCAGAACAGATACTGAGACTCATCACTGAGAACTGTACCAAAACAAAATAAGTCACAAGTCGGAGTGGTCGTATGTATGAAAAGTGTACTGTGGTTGTAAGCTGAGCAATGGTCCAAAAAGTAGGTGGTTAAACAAGGAACATCTGTAATTTTCATCCAACTTATTTTTTTCCAAAAAGAATTCTTTGAACATAAAACATCTGCTGTAGCTCTTACAATATTCTCATGTACTACAGCAGGAAATAAATTAGTACTCAAGATAAACTAATACAATACAGGTGGCTCTCTTATTCCAGGTCATAAATTACTCCCTGAAAAAGCTTATAAAGTATTTATTGTTATTCTCTTTCCACATTCTAGATGCCAAAGAGTACAGGGGTTAAATAATGTGACACATGTAACAGTAGAGGCTTAATTCGACTCAGAGTTTCAGAGTTTTACATATGAATCACTATGAAATAAGATTTTAATAGACGAAAGGTTTAATAATATCACAATTATTGTGATATCGATTAGTGATTATAGAATATCAAACTAGTTATGTCACAATAATGTACAACAGTACATTTTTGTATTTTCGTACAGGGTCTAGAGGGTCTCACTACACAGATCGCACTCATAGTGATCCTCCTGTCTTCAGCTTCGCAAGCACTGGGATTATATGTGTGCACCACCACACCCATTCTCATTGGCCCTTTCAGCATGCCCCGGGGCCAGGGATCAAACCTCTAACCCCTGTATCTGCCGAAGCAGGCACTTTAATCTGCTGAGTTATCTGGCCAGCCCAATAAGTTTTAATAGGTAATAGATTTTTTTAAAAACAAAGTTGATTCAAATGACACATCTTATATATAGAAATAATGTATCTATATTTATCCATAAATTCCTTGTATTTATTTTTGTTGTAGCTGCTGTATGTATATTCTGTGTTGCATATTCTCTTTCTTTTTTCTTTTTCTTTTTTTTTCTTTGCGGAACCAGGGATTGAACTCAGGCCCTTGCGCTTGCCAGGGAAGCACTTATTCCACTGAGCTATCTCCTCAGCCCCTATATTCTCTTTCTTATTGCCCACCAACATACGAAATAACCTGAGACATTTCCACAGTACTATTTCCCACAGTGTGGTCCTGTTCTTTCATTTATATCATTTTTTTATATTATTATGCCACATTATTTTCTGATCCAACTGAGCGCTTATTTTAATCCTGCATTGAGTTGCTTTTTTTACTTGCTCCATTGTTGTGTCATCTTATCTTTTGTTGCTTTCTAAAGATTGTATACAGGGCAGGCAAGATAGCTCAGCAGACTAAGTGCCTGCTCAGGTAAGCGTAGAGACCAGAGTTTGATTTCCTGCACCACATACCATGCAGGTCCTGCACCCAGATGCTCTGAGCTGGCCACCAAGTCCAGGCATGGCAGCCCACACCTATAATCCCAGCACTGGGGAGGCTGAAAACAGGAGGATCACTACAATTCCAAGCTACATAATGAGACCCTGTACCAAATACATTTTTTAAAAAGACCCTGTA